CGAGATTATTATATTCCAGGGGCGAGTAATATATTACCCAATTTGGTTTTACGTGATCTCGAAAATTACCCTATTAATCATTATTACCGCGAGGCGTTTTTAATTCACAGAAAACGCACAGGAATAACCTCGGCACCCCGGTACATCCATCACACAGGAAAACGCTCCGACAATGCGCTCTCGCTCTTCTGCGTAATGCACGCGATGCGTGATCACAGTGTTTACGACATTTACGGCGTTTAAACTACATAGCACCGGTCGTTCCTGGATCGACCTCCGCGTACGAAGGATGACGTAAATTATCGCAAAGATTTTTAGTTTAGCTAACTTTTCACAAAAACTTTCTACATATGTTTTTTTTTTTTCTTCACAAACTAATGGTGATGAAAAAAAAATAAATAAAAAAAAGCTGCGCGGCTTATTGTTAGCGTGCAAGTGCAATCGGCACCAACAAATAAAAGCAATAGGAAGGAGTCAGGTAATTAAGAGAGACATTAGGCGGCTAATGAGGCTACAGCTGCGACGATCGCACCTCTCGGTAACGACGATGTTGCGGAGGAGGACGGAGAAAGAGAACCTCCCCGTCACGCACGGGGGGATAAACTCTCGAGAGTTCGAAGACTTTTCTCTAGCGATATCGTCTCTTACAGAAGTGGAGGTGGAGGTGGCGTGAAGTGGTGCAGCGAGGAAAAAGAACGGATATATAAGCGATAGATAAATTCGAACGGTCTTGGGACCACTGCCGTGGGCCAGAAGACAATGCGACATAAATCATGAACGACAGCAGGACGCCGTGGCGATCGATCGATACACTCCGATACACGCTCGACGAATTAATTGCCCCTTGTGTCTCTGGGAGAGCACAGAAATCGAGGCTTGATTGCCACGGGAATCGAGAAGGAAGTGGTGTGATCGGATTGATTGGGATGATCATCCTGCAAGGAGGCGCGGTTACTTGCTCGAACCTTCGAGAAGCTAATCGAGCACGAGCGCGTAGATGACTGAATTAGAAGAATTTGAAATAATTAAATAAGGAGCGCAACAATATCGGTATAATAATCGCAATGATTGCCAAAATATGCTGCATCTGATTTTAATATTCAAATAGCTTGATTTTAATATTCAAACGATGTTTATTTTTGCGCCGAAATAATTACAATTTGTTTTTTAAATAATTAAAAATAATTTCCCGAATTACTTTCATTGTATTTCGAATAACGAATATATTTAATATTATTACTTAAAGACGGAAAAAACAGATTTTCCGCAAATAATGCTTCGTCGCAGGGCGTGACTTGGTCGCTACATATCTATACTTTCTTCTTCGTGGCCTAGTGGCCAGCAGTACACGTTTTCTCTACGATGAATCCCGCTTCGTAGAGGCACATCTCCGAAGCATATCGAGCGGGAGTCGAGAAGCGACAGTAATGACACTTGATGCTCTGGAAGAGCATCTCGACGGACGCGTGACCCGGAAACCGACCCGCGGCCATTTTTCGATCCGAGTGAAGTGGACGATCACCTCGTCTGTCCATCCCGGCCACCTTGTCCGGGCCTCGCGTCTCTCTTATGGCTCCTCTCTTTCTCCTCGATTTCTCACTTTGTGGTGGTAGACACATACAGACACGCGAAGAGCGAGATTAGAGAGAGACGATGATCTTGGCTCCGACCGTCCTGGACCTACGGACTCTACGGTCTCTCGAGGTCAACTCGCTTTGGGGCATCGTGCTAACCGCACCGATGGATCCTTCTACCCGGAAACAGTTTCTATCGAGTTCTCGCGGTCGATCCTAGGGTAGGGTAGGGTAAGGCACGGCTACTTCGCGATGCCTCTTCTTTGTTTTCCGGTTACGATCACTCATAGGGGTTTTATGATCTCGTCGCTCGCAGGCGCGCCACATCTCATATCAGCGAGTATTATTAACCGCGGAAGGAAAGTCCCGAAGAGTCGGAAGCCGTTGTTGGGAGTAGCTCAAACTGCTATTGTTACAATATTTCCGACGGCGGATTCAATCGGCGTAGGATTTTTTTTTTAATTTCGACACATATTTATACTGTGCTAATATATTCGATAACATTTACGAAAAGATATATTATTGTTATCTAAAAATTTATGTTCAAGCACTAATAAATGTGAGAACGTTGATGATCGTCAATGAATTTTTTATATTATAACACTTCGAACATACGGCACTGCATCTTAACTACATGCCTTGGTTACATGCCTTGGTCGATTATTTCTTTACGCTAAGTCGATCCGATAAACTGTTAGCCATTAACTATTGTGAATTTTTTATATTATAACACTTCGAGCATACGGCATTGCATCTTAACTAGCGGTTACATGCCTTGGTCGATTATTTCTTTACGCTAAGTCGATCCGATAAACTATTAGCCATTAACTATTCTTAAACAGCCAAATGGTTGCACGGAGAGAAACATTTCGCATATCGGCTTAGCGTTTCGAGAAGCGCCAGCATGAGAAAACGATCGAGCGATCGGGCGGCTACGTGGAAACTTCAAGGATCTGAGATCGTCTCCGATGACCGATCAAGGGTCACGTCATTCCGTGAAGATCGAAGAGATGTCATTCGCTAGTCCGTTATTCTTGAATACACGGTTCTTTATGATCCGAGTACCACCTGCAGAAATCGCAGATCCCGCAAGCTCTTCTTAACCTTTTCAGATCCGATTCTGGTCATCACGATCTGTGACCGTTATTATACTACGAACAATATAAGAAACTAAAAATTTTTACGCGAAAGAACGAAAGATTCGTACATTCTAATATAAACAACATTTATTAAATACAAATATCTAGTTTACAGAATAATATCTTTATAAGAAAGTCTTTTGCCTCTCATCAATTTTTTCTGGTCGATTGTCTATCGACCACACATTCAGAAAAAATCCTATACCGGTTTTCTGGAGCATTTTCTGCTCTACAACAACAAGAAAACGAGCGATTCCTTATCGAACATCCGTTATAACGGCGCTTATCAGAGCTTACTTCGCTATAAATTTGCAAACAAGTTTTTAATCCTCAGTCGGCTTTCAAACTCTACTGAAGAAATTTACATTTTATCTGCGGCGACTTATCAGAAAATAGCGATACATTAATATTAGACGCGCTTCCGAGAGACACACGAAATCCGAATGAGAATGTTTTTCAGATGTAGAAGCACGTGCTGGCGACCGGTTCGATCATGCTCTTAGTATCACCTCGATTGACTGATTAGTATCATTAGAAGGATCTTCGCATGCACCTTATACAGAACAGGATCTTTTGAATGACTCAGATAGTCTCAACGGTCGTGAACATGATGCTTAAAATGCCGATAGACTTTAATGATATTCGGTAGCGAGAACTTTCATTCTGTCTAGACGTATGTTCATTTTTTTCTCAACCAGATATATATTCACGGATGACATATCGATATAACTTAAAGTCATGAATAAATAAATCAAAAAAATAAAATTCCATTAAAATAAAAATAGCCTTCTCAGTATCTTATATAAAATGTGAAACTTAATTTTAATTTTACGTGAATATATCTGATTTTATTTAAATTATTCCTTAAATAATTTTTTTATATATTCTTGCACAGGCTGATGCCAATGCATTCTGTCTGTTTTATTTGATATTCTTATTCACTCTTAAAAAAGGCGTGTTAAGTCGATACTCGAAAGTCTCGAACTGTTGCCTCTTCTCCGCGGTAGTGATTGGTTCTTTTGCTTCATGAATATTGCGGAAACGCATATTTTGATTCAGTTTGTGCAGTTTGACAATTTAATATTATAATAGTCAAGAAATAATTTATATAAATAAATTTGTTTATAATTGTACTCTCTCTTTTTGTTTCTGCTGCGTTAACGGGGGAGGTCTTACGTTTTAAAAAATTCTGATTATTGTATCGCATGCTTCCCTGTGTTAGCGGCTTAACAGCGGATTAACAGCGCGAAGATTATTATAATAGTTTTGAAGAAGACAGTTTTTCTCTCAAATGTGTATAATTGTGTATAATAGTGTATATGAATTCGTAAAAAAAAAAACAAAAATTTATTATTGTCTTAATCATTACTTATAAATATGTTATTTAATAATTATTACTTTATATTGAATTTTTTCTTCTTTATTTGTTATCGATAAAATATCTTAAGTGATATGATATATATAGGCAACTCTCCCCTATATGTATATAAAATATAATATATCGCGCGCGTATAGTATAGTATATCGTTAGTACGTAAAATATCTTGGCATCAAAGTAATAATAACACAAAAGTAATAATAACAAAGTAATAATAACAGTGTTCGGTTTTTACGACATATAGCCTGTTAATGTTTACATGTCTCGATCCTCGATTCTGTTATCATTCGCGTGACAACACTCGAGCAGGAAAATAATAGTGCGAGACGCTCCGTCGAATTCCTTTTCTAAACGCGATCGCGATCAGTATCGAGAAATCATATTTGCTATTATAATACATTTAATAATTAATTAACATTTATAAATAATATGTAATTATATACATATATCGTGACAATAGGCCTCAAAATACATATTTCAGGTGATTTATTCATTTAATCAAGTAAGAATCGAAATAATAGGAAATCAAATTTTAAATTATTTTGTTTTGTTGCGATTTTTAGAGACTATAATTATTTCTTTAACACAACATAGAATCAAATATACTTTGTACGCGATGTTTTATCATTTAACACTTTCCGACGATCGAAATATAATTCGGATTAAAAACGTGAAGTAAAACAATCAAATTACAAGTCCGAATAATTAACGTAACGATAAGTTCCGTGATACATCAATCATTTAATAAATAATTGATCAATAAAAATTAAAATATTTGTAATAATTCAATATTCCGCACATATACATACGTATGTATACATGTATACATATGTTATAGTACGTAAAATATGTTGGCCGCAAATTGTCAATAACATGGTATTTGGCCTTGGCGGCGTATAACGCTCTATTGTTTACGTGTGTTACGGCCTTATCATTCGTACGGCGACTCTTGAACACGAATGTAGTAGTGTGCGGGACGCTCCGTCAAATTCCTTTTATAAACGCGATCGTGATAAATATCGCGAAATGTGAGCAATGAGCAGTGACCAGTGACCAGTGAGCAATGAGCAGTAAGCAGTAAGCAGTGAGCATATTTATATATATTATAATTATATATACATATAGATATTATTTCGAATTATATTACAAAGTAGAGGGAATATATATAAATGACGCTCGCGTTTTGTAATATTCTAGTGATTCGTATATTTCCCGTGAATTAGGATATTTTGCCTCGAATGTCCCGACAGAGAAACTGATCTCGTTTCGGATTACTTTGCAAGTTCTCACACGAGCACCCAGTAGAAGCATAATAAAATTTGGAAAATCCGAGGGATCGGCCGGTTCGCGTGACACTCTCATTCACGGAGATCATAAAAGGTCACTTTATAAGTTCCACCTACTTTATAAAATCCTTTGTATCGCGGAGATTTAGTCGGCACGCTCGAGTGCGCGAACACGAAAACAGGACTGAGGTCCAAGATTTATCGTGTAAGAACTTGCGTGTACAATCGCACGTCTCACACGCACACGCGAAGTCGTCTCAATGATCGTGTCCCTCTTTTTCTCCCACCCCCGCTACTACCACTTCACGAATCGGTCTATTCATCATCGGCCTCGTCGTCGATCTGGTTTCTAAATTCTACATAGTTCCAACGGGTTTTATGACCTGCGCCGCCTCCAACTTTGTCCGAATTGCTTTTCTTCACGAATGGACCGCTTCTTTTCAGCTGTTTTACAATCGTGACCGGCGATGCACTTCTCATTTTAAAATCTTGAAATCTTTTCTCGAATTCTATCGAACTTTTGTCTCAAATCAGCTAGTAATTTTATATTTGATAAACATATTATAATTCTTTTTAGTGCATTTTTCGTTCGTATTATTATACGGTAAAATTACACTCAAATAATATCTTTATTTATCCTATTATTGAAATTAAAAGCGCACATTCTCTTGTAGCAATATACATAGTTATATGTATAATGATAATATAAGAATCAAAATTGTCTACGAAATCTAAATTAGAATTTTACAATTGTGAAAGTGAATATAGTTAAAAAAATCTTTATTTTTTTCCCTTTTGATTACGCATCGTTTGGTTGGATCTTGGCGAAGATTATCGTAGAATGGAATGTGCCGCTTTTTTCAAGTGGATATTGAGATCGATACAATGCCCTTATAAACATCGGACGGTCGGTGACGGCCTACACGCTCAGAGGTTTTCGTTACTTCGATGAATGAGGCCATTATTCGCTTCTTACGCCTGCAGGTTCGTGGATTGTATGCGCGATCCGCTGCCAAAGTCGGATTACTTTATAGAGTTTCTGGAGTACCTTAAATCTAACCTGCCTCGATTGAATAACCTTTCTTCTTCGTTTCTCAGTCCAAAAACGCATTCTTCGTCTAGTGTATGTATAGTGCATAGTATAGAAAATAAGATTTGAAAAACTATAATATTAATCTTTAATATATGATATATTTAGAAATTTTGAATGTTGAGGATCGAAGATAATGAAGGGGAAAAATTAGAGAGCAGTGAAAAAATTTGCATCTGTAAATTATTTTATTGAGATAAAGATATCACAGAAATATCGCTCATCTTTTTTACGAAATGTACATATAATTTAACAAGCATACGTCTCGGATAAATTAATCTCGCAAAATAAAACTTCTCTCTTGAAGAGAGAAAGAGAGAGTCTTGAAAACACGAGCTGGTCTATAATTTCGCTTGCGAGTGCAATAAAGCAAAACACTTTCTCATGCGATGCGCATTACAGCGAAGTTGATCTCGAAGATGGGCGAATTGGCAACTGTTAAAGCGATGCACCGAACGCGGCGAAGTCTCGTTTCTCGTTACAAGAACATAATTCACGAACAATGGCCGGCCCGAGTTTCTCGAGCCAAATGAATAGCATTGCGCCCGGAGGCAAGTTTCGACATTGGCATATCGAATCCCGCTAAGCCGCGCGAAGAGTCGCCTCGCGAATTAACGAATTACGATTTATGTATTCACGTGCGAATCGGTAATTGGCACCAAGGCCGTGGACGCTGCGGGGGACGTTTCTAATGTTAGTAAAGTCGAATAACTCGACATTCGAGTATCGATGTTTATTGTTGTACGCTAACAGCGTACGTAACTATTGCAATTGTTTCTCACAAAGGGGAGTAATTAAAATATGCGCTATTTTGTCTCATTTTCAGATGAGAGAGTAAAATATATATTTTTACTTATTGTTTATAAACTTATCGAAAAGATTCATTAGTGCTTCTTTAAACTATTTCAGTATTTTTATAAAAATATAAGACATAAAATGATACAAGGAAAATAAATTGTTTCAACCTCGAAATTTACGCATCCAGTCTAGCGAGTCTATGATGTAGAATTATCGTTCGCAGATTCATGAATCGTTATAATGTAAGTGTCGTTGGTATGTCATCGACTCGTTTTCCGATTCTTTTCAATTCACCGAAATCGAGTCTATAAATCACCTGGAATTTCTCGCATTCTTGCCATTGTGGGCCGATACACTTGTTTCAGGTTGCATTCTTCGGTTCATTCATACCTGCGCGACAATGCTCTGCACCTTACGTTTCCAAAATCCCTGTGTACCTATACATAAAAATATCTACTAGCATCGACCACCGGTCGAATGTTTCCCCATTGAGGGATATAGACGATGCAGAATGAAAAAAAAAGTCTGTCCCCGGATTTCTACGAATTGTATCGTCGCGATATCGAGAATTATTTCATTCTTCCTGCGTATCGACAACTCATTGTTCAACTTGTTGATTTTATCGTATTTATATTTCGAAAGAACATTTCTATCTTTCTCTCTTTATTTCTATCTCTTATTCTTTTTTAATGCATTTCACATCGCACGGTTGCTTTCGAGGATTTACCGCTTACTTTGAAATTTCTATTCTTTCGAAAGGATGCGCGCTGCAGGGAAGCGTACGATTTTCTTTTCGATATGGCGTTTGTCAACTGGATCGAATAATGGAGTTTAGTTTTTTTTGAATGGAGTTCCGTATATGGGGTTTTATAAGGGAATAGATGGGTTGTCTTCGAATTTTGGCGTGTTGCAACACACGCTTGATAAAACCGTCAGCTTTTTTTTGGTTACGTATATTTATTTTCTTAATAAAAATGTCAGATAGTTCCGTATATGGGGTTTTATAAGGGAATATATGGGTTGTCTTCGAATTTTGGCGTGTTACAACACACGCTTGATAAAACCGTCAGCTTTTTTTTTGGTTACGTATATTTATTTTCTTAATAAAAATGTCAGATTAATCAACGGTCGTTATTAGTTTTTATAATATTATTTAGAGAGAACTTTTTGTGGGCAGGGGGATTAAAGTATCTTACATTATATTTTATAAAAAGTACAAAAATAAATATTAATAATATTTATCAAATAAAGAGACACTCAACTAGTAGTATCGAATAGTTGATAATCTTTAAAGCCATCTTTACTGTAGCTAATTATAATTCCAAAATATTTATCACTAACAATAAGATTTTGCAAATACGTTATTAAATAGAACGATATTCGCGTATGCAACATTATTCTTCTTAATTCAGCCGCGACGTCCACTTTTTACGACTGTCGAGCAAATTTGTATGGTGCCTCGAGTCGGCATATTTAAAGTAGAAACGTCTCACATTCCTGGCAACGAGGCCCCTGTATCTGGGTATTATTTCGCCGGTAGACCGCTTTTTTTATCAGCATGGTCCCGCTGCTAATCTCTCTCGTCTCCGACCGGAGTGTTTCCCTCCACCTCTGCCATCCCGACCGTTCCTCTCACCCCGTCCCACTTTCCCTCATACAATGCACTTTTTACTCGGATTCTGCTTGTTGACAAGTTTTTTTTCTTCCTCGTTGCACGTATCCGCGTGAGTCGCGCGGTGAGGAACGGCCGTCTACTTTCCCCCTCACCGCGTGTTCTGACAACCTGGCCCCGTTTCGGGGTACACGTTTCGGAGCCTGTGAAGTTTCGCCGCCGCGTCGTCTATCGCGCGGACAAGTTCGTTTTACGTGGACGCGGACCTTTTGTCGTTTCGGGGACGTGACGGCGCGGCGACACCTATGTAGAGAGCACCCAAAGGGACCGACCACACCTGATCCCCGGAGTCCTTTAAGCCCCGAAGAATTCGAAATTGCGCGCCACCGGCCGTTCCGGCCGCTTGGAGAAGCGGCCGGGATGTGGCGGACGAATTATCGACGATCTTTTTACGTGTTTCGCGCCTGGCGACCTGCGCGTTGAATGGAAAACTCAAGTGTCTCGTCTTAAGAAGACGTGATTTCAAACGTAATATATATCCGCGGGTTATTTATGTCAAAAATATTTATTGCAAAATTCCTTCGTTTGTTTTGTAAAAAATATTGTATAATAACTTTGATCTCATTTGAAAGATAATTTAATTCTCTACAACTTTTGTTTCGGTACTTTTTGTTAAAAGACCCATACTTTCCCTGATATTTGTAAAAATGTAAAAAATAACCGTGATTTTAGAGGTTTTTGGGCGTTAACTTTTTAAGGAAGCATTTTTCGACCCATGTTTATAGGAAACTTTTTGTTCGGAATTAAATTATCTTTCAAATGAGATCAAAGTTATTGTAGTTCGTTCCATAGGTTTTCGAATCACCGTCAATAGCCGAAAAAACACTTTTCGGTTATTAACTGATTTATTTTAAAACCTATGGAGCGAACTACAATCATTTTGATCTCATTTGAAAGATAATTTAATTCCGAACAAAAAGTTTCCTATATACATGGGTCGAAAAATGCTTCCTTAAAAAGTTAGCGCTTAAAAACCTCTGAAATCACGGTTATTTTTTTACATTTTTACAAATATCAGGGAAAGTATGCGTCTTTTAACAAAAAGTACCGAAACAAAAGTTGTAGAGAATTAAATTATCTTTCAAATGAGATCAAAGTGATTGTAGTTCGCTCCATAGGTTTTGAAATAAACCAGTTAATAACCAATTTTAAATGTACCGAAAAGTGTTTTTTCGGCTATTGACGGTTATTCCAAAACCTGTGGAGTGAACTACAATAATTTTGATCTCATTTGAAAG